AGAAGAGAAGAGAAGAGAAGAGAAGAGAAGAGAAGAGAAGAGAAGAGAAGAGAAGAGAAGAGAAGAGAAGAGAAGAGAAGAGAAGAGAAGAGAATTCTCCTTCAATTTCATTTTAGTGTTGCAGTGCAGGAAGTTCAGGAAGGCAGGTCTGGTATCCTGCAGGTCTGGAAGGCAGCCCTTCAGGCCCTGGCTAGAAACCTTTTTGCTTCTGACCATTTTCTGAAAAGTCAATTCTCTTCCATGTCTATAATCAAGAATCTCTAAATTTTGCTAATTTATGACTACAGGCTCTCAAGAAACGTTGAGAACTAATTGTTTTAGCTCTTCTACCATGCTAGTGATTTGCCTTGAGCTGAGAAGCCTTTGCTGTTTAGGGCAAATGTGGCAGCAGGATTTCTGTTGGTGTGATTCAAAGCAAGCTGTGGCTATGATAAGAGTGTGTGTATGCTTCAGCTGTTTTCTTGTCTCAGAAGAAAATTTACTCTGGAGAGTAGACTGGGGCCACATGTCCCACTGTATTTGGGAAGGAGAAAATTTCTGTTTCTGAAAAAGCACGTCAAGGAGGAAGAAACAATAAAATCAGGTTAGATTTCTCAAAGGGAGCAGTTTTTTATTTTTGAATTCCTCGCTGTAGGATTTACCCATGTGGTGGGTTAACCTTGGCTGGATCCCAGGTGCCCACCAAGCAGTGCCAGCACATTCCCTCCTCAGCTGGAGAGGGGAAAAAAATCAAACAAAAGGCTCCTGGGTCAAGATAAGGACAGGGAGATCACTCAGCAATTGCCATCGCAGGCAAAAGAGACTCAGCTTGGGGAAGTTAATTTCACTTAACACCAATCAAATCAGAGTAGGGGAATGAATAACAAGACCAAACCTTAAAAGAATTTCCCTCTTCCCCTCCTTTCTTTCCATGTTCAGCTTCACTCCCTGTTTTTCTCTGCCTCCTCATGCCAAGCAGCACAAGGGGACAGGGAATGAGGATTGCAGTCAGTTCATCACACGTTTTTGCTGCTCTTTCCTCTTCATTCTGCTCCCATCTCACCCACAGGAGACATCCAAGAACTTCTGCAGTGTGAGGCCTCCCCAGAGGCTGCAGCTTTGCCTGCCCCAGCATGGATCCCTTATTTCGTGGGGCACACTCCTCCAGGAGCAGTTTGCTCTTCCACAGGTTCCCAACTCCTGCCTGAAAACCTGTTCCAGCATGTGCTGCTCTATCCATGGAGCCACAGGTCCTGCCAGGACCCTGCTCCAGTGCAGCCTTCCCGTGGGGTCATGGCCTCCTCTGGCACTGTCCTCATGTCCCCTGGGGTCCCCCATGGGCTCAGGGGGTGTCTGCTCTGCTCAGGACCTGCATGGATTGCAGGGGGACAGCCTGTCTCACCATGGTCTTCCCCACAGGCTGCAGGGGAATCCTCTCCTGGGTTACCTGTCTGGAATACCTTCTCCTCTTCTCTCTTCACTGACCTGGGGTCTGCAGAGCTTTTTTCACACATTCTCATTCCTCTCATTCACCTGCTGTTGTGCAGCAGATTTTTTCCCCGTCTTTAATATGTGACCCCAGAGGTGCTATCACCATCACCGTTGGCTTTGGTTTGTGCTTCTTGGATCCAGCTGGCTCTGGCTCCTTTGGATATTGGGGAAGCCTCTGGCATCTTCTCACAGAAGGCACCCCTGTGTCCCCCTCCCCCACCAAAATATTGCCATGCAAACTCAGTACAACCCATCTAATATGTGGAATGAGTTCCCTAATCAATCAGCTGGAAGCATTTCATTGGTGCTGGCAAACATCATGGTTAGATATTTCTGCCTCTTGTCTCTGCAGTGTAGGCAGCTTCATCTATTTGAGTGTTAAAGTGGCTTCATAAATAGCCAGAGGAGTGGCCAGGAATGCAGCATGGAGTTAGTGCAGCAGAAAGGCTGGAATCTTTGGAGATGCAGTACATGGCTAACAGCATATTTGTTTTCAGTGTATTTTAAACTTCATTTATTTGTGCTCTTTGATACTGGTCATCTTTATAGGCAAAGCTTGTCAAAACCACCAAAGACTGGAAATCATGCCTTGAAAGGCTCCCTGGAACAGAGGCTGGGCAGAGCTAAAGGAATAAAGTAGGGATTTTTTAAAAAGCCTTCAAAGGATTCACCTTGGGCAGTGCAGGAGCCCAGCCATGGCTACACCCAAGTCACGAGTTCTCACACTTTTATCAGTTTTGGTCCATTCCCACACTGGGGTTCATTGTCCAATCTCAGCTCCAGGTTCTGCAGTCCCATCCTCCCAGATTCTCTCCTCAGTTCTCTGCTGTTTGCACTTTTTGGGGCTGAAGCTGCAGTGGTGTCCTTGGTTCTGGGGCTGGAAAAGGATTGTTCTGTGTGCCTGAGCTGGGAGGAAAACTTGTAACACTTTATATGAAATTCAGAGTCACACATCAGTGCAGTACAGAATCTGAAAAATATAAAAGCTAAAACTTAAGCCATCAGAGAAATGCAGTAAATACACATAGTTTAATTCTTGTGATATAGTATCAAATCTGTTTTAGTGAGATTGACATGCAACCTGTTTTTTTTATTTTGCACAATCTTTGGTCACAGACTGTGTAGCTGCTAACAGAGTGAACAGCACTTGTGACAGAGACATGGCACTCTATGATTCATGTGACAGAAAGCACTTTATTATTCTCAGCTTCACCTTAAATACCCATCTTAATATTCCTGGGCAAGCACTTATGATTGGTTGAAAGTTTAGGCTGCTCAGCTCTCTGAGCAACAGCTCCTGCAGCTCAGGCTGGAACTCACTGAGTAAAGTCCCTGTCTGGTTCTGACTCTGTCCTATCACTGTTCCCTGAGGGCTGTCTGGCAGACCAGGCTGCTTCTCCCATGTGTGGCCCAGCCAATGGCCCAGCAATAAGCCAGCCTGTACTGTGACAAGCACCTTTCTTCCAACTCCAGCACGTCTCCTGTAGCATTTGGAATTCACAGTTTCTCAAGCTGTGAAAGGACTAACATGAACACACTTCATACCCTGGTATGTGCTTATAACACCTCGCTGGTTCCTGTCACAGTTATTATGTTGAGGCAGACACTGCTGGTATCACCACCAGCCCTTTATTAGCAAACTCTTCATGCCTTCTTCCACAGACCTCGCTCAAGCAACTCTGACTCTTTTTCTTACAGAGCTCTCTGGTAGTTTTGTCTCCTTTTCTTATAGGCAGCTGCACATAGCACTGACTCCCTTCCATTCTGCATGACTGACTAAACCCCAGCTGTCCCTTTCCTGGCCACCTAACCCTGACTGTCCCTCACAGAGCATCCCACCATATCTGTCCTTTGCACAGCCACATGTCCCACAAAGCACAGCCAGCAGCCTCCTTCTCTTACTCCAGCAGACTCTGGGTCTCCAGCTCAAACTGCAAGAGCCTGTACCTGTGGCCAGCTAAGCCACTCTATATGCCCCAAACTGATAGGGCAGACTCGGGTGTTTTCACTCCTTGGTAATCACTGGTGTTGTGAATGATGTTCTATTTGTCCAATTTATCAGAAAATATTAAATTAAACAGCAATTTTTTTAATAGCAACAATTGTACATAAATGAATACAATCAAAGTATATTAGATACATATATTTAAGTATGTACAAAATCTGGCAGTCAGTAATTTAGTATAATTGAAGTTTGTATAAAGCATAAACAAAACTGACTGGGGTTACAGGGAGGGGCTTACCCTTCCTCACATCCCAAACAATCAAGCCTAAAATCACACTTATATACTATATGCTAATACATATTAATACAGAATTTTCTGGAAAGCTCCTCCTAGTTTCCATTCCTAAAATCTACATCACTATGTTGTGTTGGCATGCTCTACTAGTAGTTAGGGGTCTCTCATCCTTTTGGGGATCTTATTTCCAAGGAAGGCTCTTTGTCTTCATCAGTGTCTGCTGTGTAACCTTGCAGGGAGTGCAAGTGCAGTCAGCTTGGGGTTATATAACTAAGCAGTGTTCCCACAATAAAAAATATGTTCCCATAATAAAACCTTATTCAACTTCCATGCCTGGAATCATCCCAATTTGGCCCATTCCAAGGTCGAAACTTTTTATTTCTAGATGCTGCTTATCAAACCTACATCCTTCTACTACTCCCCCTTAACATCTGGAGTCTGCTTTGTCTCACCATTTCTTTTGCTATGTAACAATTATTTTCTATTGATACGAGTACAATATTGCTAATATATTTACAATTCAGTTAGCATGTATCGCATAGGGAAAGATTCCCTCCCGCACTTTCAGCTCTGCTACCCCACAGTTGGCTGTTGCTTCGCGGAGCCAGGCTGCGGCATAACCCGAGCTGTGGTCGTTCTCCCCCGCAGGCCGGGTGTTCGTGCACTGCCGGGAGGGTTACAGCCGCTCGCCCACGCTGGTCATCGCCTACCTCATGCTGCGGCAGCGCATGGACGTGCGGAGCGCGCTCAGCGCCGTGCGCCAGAAACGCGAGATCGGCCCCAACGACGGCTTCCTACGGCAGCTGTGCCAGCTCAACGAGCGCCTGCTCAGAGAGGGAAAGCTCAAGACTTAGAATGCGCCGCTCAAGGATTTCTTATTTTTAAGTTTCTCAAACCTTTAGAGATCCCAAAATTGCAAGCACCAGGCTAAGGCGAAACAGAATTGCTGCTTGTCTAGTGAAAGTGTCCTTCTTGAACTCTGTGGCTGTCTTTCAAGGTGGTACAAAATTGTGTCACTGTTTGGGGCTGTTGCCATAAAGAGATGTTTCTAGAGAGATAACTCCAGTGAGAACAGATGTCTTCACATATATTTCAGACTCCATAGCATATGTGGTTTGCATTGACATTGAATGTGATTCATTTAAACTTTGTCTTTAATCTCACCAAAGCACCAGTTCCTGAAAGCCCCAACACATCTCTTCACTCACTCTTAATAGGAGCTCTGTAATTTCTAAAGCTTCTATTTCATGCACACACGTGCCTAAAGTTTGAATGTAGGAGCTTCAAGGAATGGGAAGCACATAGAGAAATGCACAGATGCATTCACTTGGAAAATGGAGTGCTTGCAGTGTTTTGTGTGGATTTGTGCAATACACAGTGTGATAGTGAAGCCATCCAGAGCCCATGCTTGATGCACACTGTGTTTCCAAGAATAGTTTTTTATCTCTTGCTGTTACAATGGACATGAAATAGTCTGTTATTAAATGCTCTTTTTATTTTGAAATCATGCTAGAAAAAAATGTCAAGAGCAAATGCTGAGGGAAGAACTTGAACAAGAAAGAAATAATATTAGTATTTAGAAGTGCTTGTGGTGGATGTATAATTAAGTCCTAAGTGTCCTAATATAATGGCTTTCAAAGCTTGTATGGAATTACAGTGTCCTTATCCCTTCTTTACTATCACTGTTCAGTACCACACATGCAGATCACTTCAGCACAGATGTGCTTCCAGAGCAGTTTGCAGAAGAGCACTCTTGACTTCTTGGATTGTTTGCATGGTATCATTAAACAGAAATGAGCATTGTAATGTTCCACACTGTATAGGAAATATTTATATTCTATTCAAATAAATGATGTTTTGATTGTGTTTACTGCAGATGAAGTGAGTCATTGCAGTGTTGGGAGAGGGAGCTTTGTTTGCACTGTGCCTGGATTAGTGTGTAAGTGTGTACGTGGGACTTACAGCACTGTGTTAATACAATTGGAACTATTGGTTAACCCATCACAAACCAGGGTAACTGTTCCATTCTCACCTGTGCTTTAATGTAGCTCTAGGATGAAAAATCTTAGCACTGTTTTAAACAGGAACACTGTATTAGTAACACATGTGATCCCAGATGAAGTTTTGTCTGCTCAGTTTAGTAATCAGAAATCACAAAGGACATGCAGGCATTGTTTTACTCCTGGTTTTGGGGTTGTGTGGTTTGGAGCTGTGGGAGGGGCAGGCTCTGCATAGCAAGGTAACATTCTTGAAATTAAACTCCAGAGGTGATCATTCTGCTTGAGCTCCAGTCTTATTGTTTCTCCTCCCACAGGATGGAGCTGCCACATCAAGGAGCCTTTTCTCTGTTGTGTCTTTCAAGTGACAGTTGAGGAACACTGCTCATGGTGTTCTGTCACATCTCCTCTGTCAGGCAGTGTCCAGTGCTTGCCTGGATGCTTCAGTAATAATAAGCAGAGGTCATTTCCACTGGCTCATTACTTACCTGTTTGCTTTCTCCCATTGATCCATTGAGTCAGGGTAGATTAACTGCTTCTTCAAAATTCCTAGTTACTAATTTCATGTTGTGTGAAACAGGAGTGGCTTTAGAAATAGGAATAATCCTGGCCTTACCTTTTCTACAATGCTGACTTTTCATGCTGCAGTCTAATTTATAAATTGCCCTTTAAAAATTTTTACTATAAACATAGATTTTTTTTTGTCTTGTCTCACACTATGTATTCTTAATACCTATTTGCACTATAAGAAAAAAAAAAAGGGAAATTCACATGGATGCACTTTGTCTTTCACCTGCTACTTGGAAGTCAAAATTCCAGTCCATCACAGAGCTAAGAAACCATTAGGTGTTAGACTTTTGCTACTCTGGGTAGATTGGTAGTTGTCAGATCAGAGCCAGAATTGTTTATTAAAATTGAATCTGTTTACCTTATGGTGATGTTTCTGTAGTTGTCAGTATCAAGAAATACTGAAAATGAAAACAGGATAATGTTTTCTTATATTCAAGACAATATTTTACTTCATGGGACACTGATCACTCTTATGGTAACTCTGGCCCATTTGTCTCAGTGTAACAAAATTGATTTAGCAAATGTTTTGTAATATGAGGGTGGAGAGGCATAAGTAAGACATTATAAATTATAACATAAATATAATATTATAAACATTATAAATTGGTTTTAAAAGTGAGACAGGATATCATATTTAACATCACTGATGGGCAACTCAGCAACAAAACCACTTCTGCTTTTAGAGCAGGCTAAAAATAGTTGAAATGTCAGACCACTGCTCCATTAATGGATCTTACCCTTCCTCTCAGTCCTGCTCTCCAAGTACAGTCATGGTACAAATTCCTCTGCCCATTTTAGCTGGCCTGGAAGGTCTTGTATGCCTCTAATCCACAGTGATATGCTGGATTACTTCTAAATTTCTCTTCCTGATTGTAGAAGCAAAGATTGTATAAAACATGGGAATGAGAGCTTTTCTTTCCATGTAAAATGAAATTGAGAATGTATTGGAAGAAAGAGAAGTTTTTATTCCTCTGAAATTGCTGAGCACCTGCCCTTTGCTGTGAGAGCTCCCTTACAAGGATGCTAATTCAGGAAAATACTTTTTAAAAGAACTTTGTTGCAAACAGCAATGCTCTGCTTTTGGAGTTGAAACTTCCTGGCCACAGCTAAAAGAGTGTGATCAGGATTGACATTAATATGTTCATCCTGATTGGCAGGGTGGTAATTTTTGTGTGGATTAGGGGTTGTGGATTACAATTGTGGATTGCAATTGATTGTGGATTACAATTTCTGTGGAGAAGGGATGGTGTCTCTAAAATATTCATCTATCCTGGAAGAAAGGTGTCTACCATGCCAAGTCTAGCCCAGTGAGAGAAAATGCAATACCTTGGGGGTTTTTGTATTGAAGAGTTCATGAATTTAGAGAGGGGGAAGAGAGAAGGTGAGAAGCTGCTCATATTTTACAACAAGGAGCAAAGAGGAAAGTTCAGATGGACAAAATTATGATAAATGTAAAACTAAATTCACCTACTCACACTGAACTAAATCTTTCTTAGCTGATGAATAAGTGCAGGAAAGAAATCTGTAACTAAAAATTACGATTGAAAACGAAAATAACATTTTGTAGTTCTTTGTTCATCCTTTGGCCCTGCAGTGAGACTGCAATGTTGATAAATGCTGTACCTGCCTCTGCACCTCAGGTACTGCCAGAAACACTTCATGGAGAATGGTGCACTGCTGACAAGTGAACATTTCATGGAGTTATTTCAAACTTAGAATTAATGGCATCTGAATGCAGGACTAGCAGCCACAAAACATTGTATTGTAATTCCACTTTTGGGTGCTAAGCCTGTATTAAAATTGGACACCCTTTTCTCCTGCAGTAATTAGGATTGGTGATGTGAGAATTCATCATCATAAAAGGCCTTGGAGATGAAAAGCACTGTTTATAATAATAATGCATGGTTCTGAACTGAAAAACAAATTTGTGTCAAATATATCTTCCTCCTCCTCAGCAAAGAACAACAGCAGAAAGAATATTAGCAATGTGTATTTTCATCATTTAGATACTTTTACTGAGCTGTCTTCTGTTATTCAGAATTAATTAAACCTCTGAGGCCAGAAGCAGAAGCAGGCCTTTTTATCTTCTTTTATTTTTTACATTAGTTCTGCTAGTTTACAGCGATGTTTTTAGCACAGAGAAAAGACTATCTAGTGGAATCTTTCTTAGTTCAGCACAGAAGTTTCTTCTAAAATTACTTTTCGGGCTTCACCAGTGAGTGAAAGTCAAAATAGAACAAGCCTGGGAGGTATCTTTTAAGGATTTACTGGTGAGAATTAGTGTCCTATTAATTTCTTCTGCAAATAAATTCTGGAAATAATCAAGTGCTGGTTGAGTGTTTGAATTTTAGTTCCTGTATGCTGATGCCACTGGCTGGCTGACTCACCAGATGGAGCTGTAGGCTTGTTATTCTTCCCTGGAGAGTCACCCCTGAATCCCTGAACTCTGCTGTTGTGTGGATCCAGAGGATTCTTATCACTGAGAAAGCCACCAGAATGATTTATCAGTCTCTGGCACGAGAATAATAAGAATCCATTTATTTAGGCTCCTTGCAGGAGGTCACACCACAGCATTCAGACTTTGTGTTCACTCTGCAGTGTGTGGCATTGCAGAATTCCTCTGAGACAGCTGAGACTTGATTGGGAAAGGCTGCACCATGGAAAAAAACAAACAACTGTTTGAGATGCAAAGTTCTTGATCGTGTCAGGAACTGAACTCCTGAGCAGTGTGTGAAGTTTGAGCCACTGTCCAGAGAGAAGCTCAAACTGGGCCCTGGCTGCTGAGCAGAGCCCCCGTGGCCCTGGGGGCAGAGAGAGCCCCTGGAGCTGGAGGTGACTGAAGCAGTTTCAGAGGCTGCTTTAGTTGTGTCTGCCTGCACTGCAGTGCCAGGATAGAAAGTTCCAGGCTGGGTGCTCGGGTTCACTGCAGCAGCAGCAGTGGATTGAGGCTGAGCACCAGGTGCCAGTTAACTCCTTGGAGCTGTCCCTGCTGGCTCTGATTGCTGCTTGGAGCAGAGCACTGCTTTGGGCTGGCTAGGGTTAACTTCACTGCCCGTGTGTTTTGGGGCTGTGCTGAGCACAGGGATGACCCTACAGAGATGTTTTTGTTATTGCTGGGCAGGGCTGACACTGAGCTGAGGCCTTTTCTGCTGGGGAGGGGCTGGGGGTGGGAGATGGGGGGAGACACCCTGAGAGAGCTGAGCCCAAGGGGCCAAATGGATATTCCAGAGCATTTGGCACCGTGTGAGTGGTGGTGTGAGTCCTCCCCAGTCACAGCTCCATGTGCTGGGGTCTCCCAGAGCTGGCTGAACACACCCACTGCCCAGGGAGGAATTCATTCCTCTCTTTGCTTTCTTTGCATGCATGGTTTTTGCTTTTCCTATCAGAATGTCTCCATCTGATCCCTCGAGCTTTTACCCTTTGGGTTCTGTTCCCAGTCCCAGTGGGTTTGGCTCCTGGCTTTCCTTTTCTCCTTTCTGGATTTTTTCAGCTTGGAAAACAGCAGCTCAGCTCTGAATAGAAGGGGTCCAGTATCAGTCCCACCCTGGTCGTGAGGTTCATTCTGAGAACACTCTACCCTTGATAACTCTTCTTGGTTTTTCCTGTGCTTCATTAACAGTGCAAAAATCAAAATTTCTGGCGAGACTGCGGCACAGACCATGTCTGCTGTGCTGCAGAAAGGACTGTGAGCAGGCAGGCAGCTACAGTGTGTGAAAGAATGTTTTTGTACTTAATGAATCTGAATGTCTGAGATTTGGGTTCATTCCTGGCATCTGTTAGCCTGCCCTCCTGCCTTATGGACAAGAAGCTTTAAGCCACAGGCTAACCATAGCTCCTGATCTTTTCATTCAGAAATTGTTTTGGTATTATTTCTCTCAGTGGATTATACAGATAAATGTTAAGACAGTTCATACAGGGGATTGATTGTTTAAGTACTTGAGAGAAGCTACATCAAGAAGATGTTTATGTTTTATGTGACAGTTGATTACTCTAAATGAGATTCTCTCTAGTAGGCCAGCACTGACAATGATAGCTTTTGGAAATAGGCAGATATTTAGGCAGATATTACATGAAAAGAAACTAACAGAAGCTGAGCTGTGGTGGATATATACAATTCTGAAGGCATTTAAACAGAGGAGTAAAGAGGCAGCAAGGATTCAGTGATCAGCAGCACTCAGCTTTGTTCTGCTCTCCTGTTCTGTTTTTCTGTGCTGCCACAGGCTGTGATGGCACTTTGGACAGGGGCTCTCTTGGACAATACCCACACCTCGTGGTATTCCTGTCTGGCAAAAATAATGCCAAAATCTTTGTTTAGTTCCTGGTCCTTCAGGACTTCAAGTCCTTCACGACTTGTTCAGTTTAGCTGTCAGCCAAAAATAGATTTACTACATGCAAGTGAGCAAAATTATGCTTAGAACATTTGCAATATTTGGAATTTGGTTTCCTGTGTTTGTGAGACCATCATTAACTGCTCTGACAAAAGGAGAAAGTTAGTGAAAGATAATCAGTGCCACTGATTATGATGATTATAGAGAAAAAATAATCAGCATATTGGAGGCAAATTATTTGACAAGAGTCTGTATTAAAGAATGTGTTAAGAATATATCCTGACTGGCTGAGGAGAAAAAATCTTGTAGAAAGAAAATAATGTGTTGTATTTCTCCATAAAACCAGTAATTTGTGAGATGGTTGGATGCCTAAGGCTGGAGGAAAGGAGGAAGGGGAGCTGGCAGTCAGGGCACACTGAACTATGGAACCGTGCATGAATTCTTTCAGACACTCCTTGGAGTATTTAGAAAGGAGAGCACTTCTGGGAATGCTGATTTCTGATTTTTGGCTGAGCAGAAGACGGGGAAGGAAAGCACCTTACAGTGTATTTCAGATGGCAGTGCTGCAGGAAAGGAGCCTGGCAGGGAGCAGCTGTGCTGGAGCTCAGCCTCAGTCCATGGTGCAGCTGCTGGGAGTGTGTGTGTGTGTGTGTGTGTGTGTGTCTGTGTGTCTGTGTGTGTGTGTCTGTGTGTCTGTGTGTCTGTGTGTGTGTGTGAGTGTGTGTGTGTGTGAGTGTGTGTGTGTGTGTGTCTGTGTGTGAGTGTGTGTGTGTGTGTGTGTGTGTGT